GTAAACGACTTCAACACTCGAACTTATAGAAATGTCAATGTCAACAATTATCCAAGAAAAGTTCATGGATACCATTAAATAAAAATTGTTTGTACTAGAAAATGGAGCTCCGACATCCGAAACTTAAGGCATACACTTTTTTTTTCTTTGTCCAAATTATTTGTTTACTGTGCTGCCTTTGATAGTTATATTAATTGGTATGCTTTTCTTTTGTCATTGTATTTTCTCTCCTTTTAGAGTTTGTATACTATAACACTTTTCGCACTTTTCCTTCAAATTCCAATCAGCAATCCTCATAATTGGCCTACCTCTAATTTCTCCTCAAATCTTGAGAATCTCAGATTACTTTCAAATAAAGCCCTCATGTAACGACCTAGATCCACCGTTAGCAGATATTGTCTTCTTTGGGCTTTCCCTTTCGGGCTTCCCCTCAAGGTTTAAAACGCGTCTGCTAGGGGAAGGTTTCCACACCCTTATAAATGGTGGTTTGTTCTCCTCCCCAACCAATGTGGGACATCACAATCCACCCCCTTCGGGGCCCAGCGTCCTCGCTGGCACTCTTTCCTTCCTAACATCGATGTGGGACCGCCCCCAAATCCACCCTCCTTTGGGGCCCAGCATCCTTACTGGCACACTGTCTCGTGTCTACCCCCCTTCAGGGAACAACGAGAAGGCTGGCACATCGTCCGAAACCTAGCTCTGATACCATTTGTAACGACCCAAATCCACCGCTAGCAGATATTGTCCTCTTTGGGCTTTCCCTTTCGGCCTTCCCCTCAAGGCTTTAAAACGCGTCTGCTAGGGGAAGGTTTCCACACCCTTATAAATGGTGGTTTGTTTTCCTCCCCAACCAATGTGGGACATCACACCTCATTTCTTCAATTTTTCATTATCTTGTGTTTTATAATACTATTTATATGTATGTGTGTGTGTATATATATAGCTATAGATATAGATATATATAGATATATATAGATATATATATGTATACCATGGAACTTAAAGAAAAATCATGTATTTTTTTTTTGCAGCCCGTGCTAACTGCAGAGGACTACTGCTGCCCTACGTCCTTCATACTCAAAAAACAATGAAGTAACCTTTAATTGGGGGAAAAAAAATCATTACAAAATAAATTCAAAAGAAATATAATCAAGATTGTGAGCTTACCGTTTCACCTGGCTCAAGCAGGTCAGCAATACGTCGCTTTATCTTTCCAACTTCATCAGAAGATAGCTCTTGAACATCATCTTCATTATTTATTACTGAAGAGGTTTTGCCGGTATATTTTGGATCAATGTCAACACTATCAAGCCATGCATCCTGAAGGTATTTACACTGACTTAATAAACAAGTGGAGTATATTTTCCAGAAGGGTACAGAACACCGTACAGTTATGCTTACCTTGATTTCGTTATCGTTAACATATTCAACAAAATTCCCAGCTGCATCAAAATAACCTTCCTCCCTCTCTTTGTCTAAATTGAAGGGTTCCATTTGTATTCCATCATCATCAAAGTTCTCATTCTCCTGTCAATAGGAGAAAGGAAATGATAGGATAAGAACGGAGAGAGAGATTAAATGAACAAAAAGTTATGAGAACCAAAAAAAATTAAAATGAACATACTTCACTGCTTGACATAAGCATGAAAGCACCAGGATAGAAACACGTTTGAAACTAAACCTTACCTCATAAGTCACTTCAGCTGCCGATATGTCATTCCCAACGCCTCTATTCTCTTCACTGAAGAGGTCAGCAGTCATTTGATTCCGTCGCTTCGCACGCTCTTTAGCAGCAAATCGTGGGTCTGTTAAGTCACTTGGGTTTTCTTCAGCTTTCGCTACATCCACAAATGCATCTCCAGTCTTCACCTTCTTACCCTTCGGGAACCTGACTCGCTTTTGGCTGAAAAACAGAAAATTCCAACGTTGAGAGGGAAAATATCCCATTTGCAAGGCTGCAGTAAATGAATTAGCAGAATAATCATGAAACTATATCGAGGGGTTATACTCAGACGCACAACAAGTAAAAGACACCCACATACCAGAACTCCTCCTCCCACCTCTCCAAACAGGGTCATATGCTCCAATTAGATGCTCACAGACAAGGAGATACTTGGCCAACAAATTGCAAATTTTCATAGAACTTCATTCACTACAACAATATATTATAACACAATTTTTCAGCTCCAAAAATAAAGGAGCAAATTAGATGGATATCTTTTTTCTAAAAGCTTCACTGTTTTCTACATTTTCTTGAATCTAAGACAAACCAAGGGGATCCTCCTTCCTCCCCCCCTGACTCATACAACCAACAAGCTGACCTGAATCATAGTATTAACTCAGCTAAGCAATTGAAGGCGCAATGAAAACGAAGTGATTCAGTGTGAAGCCAAATAGTTTCAAAAAACAAATACAAGGGTGATAAATTGCACAGAGGGTTTAACGGAATCGCTGTCTTCTTCATCAAAAAAAAAAAAAAAAAAAAAAAAAAAAAAAAAAAAAAAAAAAAAAAAAAAAAA